ATTTCGACATGTGCGCCGGCGCGAAGCCCGTTTGGTAGTATTTTTTGAAATTGAAATTAATGAAAAAACCTATGGTTTTCTGAAGGTTTCGCACGAGCGCGCGCGTAAGCTTTTGAAAGTCCGTGTTGCGAATCCATGTGCTTTTTGTCTGTTTTTTGGAAACTCGAGTTTGCATTTTTTCCGAGACCGACTGTTTTTGAAGGGTTTCGGCATGCGCGCGCGACGGCGCACGCGTGTGCATGTCGTTTCCTTTTTGCCAGGGATTATTGAGCACCTCTGGTTTTTGATAAAACGAGTGTGCGCGCATTGTGTGTTTTCCAACGGATGAGGGGGGGGCGATACCGCCCCCCCTGGGATAGTGTAATTCATAATTCGGATGGACGATGGAGCATAATTGTATGTAAATTGAAATACGAAAAGGGGAGACCTTGAAGTCCTGGGGGGGGAGGGTGGTAGAACTTATTCCCAACCATCCTGTGGTGTTGGGTCCTCGTTTTGAAGAGACAGTGCCCCGCGTTCCTCCTTCCTTCCCTCCCCCTCCTTGGGGTGCCCGCATGCGGTTCCCCCACCCAGGGCAGCGTTTCGTGGCGTCATAGGGAGCCCCACTGTAGGCCCCAGTGGGGATGTCCGCATGCGGTTCCCCCACCCAGGGCAGCGTTTCGCGGCTCCATAGGGAGCTCCACCGTAGGCCCCGGGGGGGGTGTCCGCATGCGGTTCCCCCCCACCCAGGGCAGCGTTGCGTGGCGTCATAGGGAGCTCCACCGTAGGCCCAAATAGGGGGGGTCCGCATGCGGTTCCCCCACCCATGGCAGCGTTTCGTGGCCCCATAGGGAGTTCCACCGTAGGCCCCAGTGGGGGTGTCCGCATGCGGTCCCCCCACCCAGGGCAGCGTTTCGTGGCCCCATAGGGAGCTCCATCGAAGGCACCACTTGGGGTTTTCGCATGCGGTGCCCCCACCCAGGGCAGCGCTGCGTGGCCCCATAGGGAATTCCACCGAAGGCCACAGTGGGGCTGTTCGCATGCGGTTCCCCCACCCATGGCAGCGTTTCGTGGCCCTATAGGGAGCTCCACCGAAGGCCCCAGTGGGGGTGTCCGCATGCGGTTCCCCCACCCAGGGCAGCGTTTCGTGGCCCCATAGGGAGCTCCACCGTAGACCCCACCAGTGGGGGTGTCCGCATGCGGTTCACCCACCCAGGGCAGCGTTTCGTGACTCCATAGGGAGCTCCACCGTAGGCCCCAGTGGGTGTCCGCATGCGGTCCCCCCCAAGCAGGGCAGCGTTTCGTGGCCCCATAGCGAGCTCCACGGTAGGTCCCAGTGGGAATGCCCGCATGCGTTTCCCCCACCCATGGCAGCGTTTCGTGGCTTCATAGGGAGCTCCACCGTAAGCCCCAGTGGGGGTGCCCGCATGCGGTTCCCCCACCCAGGGCAGCGTTTCGTGGCCCGATAGGGAGCTCCACCGAAGGCCCCAGTGATGTCCGCATGCGGTTCCCCCACCCAAGGCAGCGTTTCTTGGCCCCATAGGCAGCTCCACCGAAGGCCCCAGTGGGGGTGTCCGCATGCGGTTCCCCCACCCAGGGCAGCGCTTCGTGGCCCCATAGGGAGCTCCACCGAAAGCCCCAGTGGGGGCGTTCACATGCGTCTCCCCTACCCAGAGGTAGCGCCACCGAAAACGATATCCATATTTGCGGTATTCACGACTGCATATGGTTGGGTCCTTCGCCAGGCTATTTTTTTTGAAAGGAGAACCTATGTTGTGCAAGCCAGGACGGCGACGAGGCGGCGACGGGGCGGCGTTGGCGGCAACATCGCCGCCACACCGACAGACAGGCCCAGACGACGAGCGGCGACGAGACGGCGACGAGGCGGCGGCGGCGGCAACATAGCCGCCAGACCGCTAGACGGGCCCAGACGACGGGCGGCGATGAGATCGCGTCGGGGCGGCGGCTGCGACAACATAGCCGCCAGACAAACAGGCAGGCCCAGTTCTTGAGAGGAGAACTACGGATCCCTAAGTGCGAACACTGCTATGGGAATCTGCATTCACAATTAATCTGAGCATCGGAGGAGAAACAACGGTACGGACATAAACTGTCGGACCTAAGACAGTTTACGTTTATGCCGTGCTTGCTTCATCTCATGCAGTCACGCCGCCTCTTGTACATAATTCAGGCCTGTCCAGGGCCAGTGGTAGGTGCAGTATACCTTACTCGCCTAGTACAGACCGATCCTGGGCCCAGGGAATCGGCCGCGGCCAGGATCGGTGTGGGTGTACAGTTGGGTCCTCTTGGAGGCGACGGTGACGGCGGAGATCTCCACGATGCGCCTGGACATGGGCGACATGCAGGAGGCGCTGAAGGCGCACGACGCCTGGATGGAGGATGTGTCCCAAAGCCTGCAGGAGGCGCACGAGCGCTGCCACCAGCTCTCGGAGGACATCGCCGACTTCCGGGACGCAAACCAGTCGAAGATGGACGCCAAGGTCGACATCACCACCTGGAACGAGATGAACGACGACATCGACGCGTCTATCAAGACCGTGCGCGACATGGTTTCTGGCCTGCGGCTGGAGACGGACACCCGCCGGCGGAAGGTGGACGAGGAGACCAGCCAGCTCCGCGCGGACAGCAATCTCTTCGCGGGCAAGGTTCAGGGCAACGATAGGGAGGGAAAGGCTCAGGGGGGATGCATCGATCTCCAATCGCCCATTCATCGCCGATGTGGACCCGATAGCCCTACCCTGCCCAGGAACATGCGAATTTGCAATCGGGGGCTCATTGCCGATATTGGCGAGATATCGCCGATTCCAGGTCTATTCCACCTCAATGCTGTTTCTCGAAGGTGCAGTCGAACTTGGACAACATCCTGAAGCAGATGCAGGCCACCAACGCGGCGACCGACCGTCGTTTCGAGGAGCTGAAGGAAGGGCAGTACCGCTTCGAGGCGCTGGCCTCGAAGCATGCGGAGGTCCACAACGAGATCCAGAACAAGATAGACCAGAAGATATCCGAGACCGAGGCGATGATGAGGAAGCAGGCGGCGGACTCGGCGAAGCAGGACGAGGACCTCCACAAGGAGGCGACCGACCGCGTGGACAACCTGGAGAGACACCAGGCCACCGTCGCCCAGGCGGTGAACAAGCGGCTCAACGCCCTCGACCTCCGCATGAGCGGCCTCCAGGGCTCTTCCGGCGAGCTGAAGCGTGACCAGGGGAAGCTGCGGGACGAGGTGAACAACCTGACGGTCAAGACCGCCGCGCACGACGTCGACATCGGCAAGAGCAGCGACGACATCCGCAGGATCGAGCGCCAGCGGGCTGAGGACGCCCAGCGGCACAAGCAGGACATGGACGGCATCTACGAGGATCGGGCGACGAGATCTGCACTCGGTACGCGTCCACGGCCCCGGGCCCCAGGGGCCCGGCCAGGCCAGGGGCGTTCGATACGTATAGATTTCGTCGCGCCCCGGAGGAGCTGGACCAGAAGGTGTACGAGAAGAGCTTCAAAAACCTGGAGGAGCTGACAACCAGGCTCACGCGCGGCACTGTCAGGCTCTGCCAGGTCGTCGGCGTCTTCCCTGGCGCCAGGGTGAACGACGGCTCCGAGGAGGAGCCAGGCAGTGCCAAGGGGGATCCCCACCAGGGAGGTCGCCTCCTCCTCCTCCTCCTCCTCCTCCTCCTCCTCCTCCTCCTCCTCCTCCTCCTCCTCCTCCTCCCCCTCCTCCTCCTGGAAGTCGAGGATCGAGGAGTAGGAGGAGGGCGGATCCGGGATCGATGGCGTTTGGGATGTTTTGTTGGCGCCTTTGGGAGTCCAGGGTGGCCCGTGGCGAGCTGGACGAATAATAATCTGCATGAACGCAACCTTTCTTGGTTCTGCGCTGGACCCCCCTGGCGGCGCCTCCGGCGCCGCTCATTGCGCGCTCCGCGCGCCAGGTCAGGCTGTTCTGGTTCAGCGCCGATCCAAGGAATCCTCGCCGATTTCTGCAAGTTTATGTCAATACAGCCGGGCGGGGCTAGGGCAGGGATATACAGGTTCCTGAACGTTTATGAATACTTTCAGAGCCTTCTGGAGCGCCCTCGAACGGCCGCGGCGCCCGGTACATCCTCCAGAGCCGTCGGATCTAAAGGTTCCCGACGTGTCCCAGTCCGGTTTTGCCCTTTGCCCCAGCGCCATCTGGTACAGGTTTTCTTTGTTAGTGTTTCGCTAGAGGGTTTTAATAGTGGTTAGAATGGGCCACAGAAGATCGGGCGGGACGAAAGGTGGGGATTGGGAAAGGGGGGGTTACGAAATCTGCTGCATGCAGCTGGTTTCGGCCTCACCGAGGGGCCCATTCCTCGATACATAGCCGTCTCCGGCGCTGGGAAGCGCCGGGAAAATCAGCTACGTGAGCTGATTCTCGAACCCCCCCCTTTGCTATCCCCCCCCTTTCGCCCGGCCCGAGAAGAGTCCCACAGGGGGGTTGTGGAGCCCTGGACCGCCTAGTCTGGAGGCGGTCCGGCAGCCGTTTCTCTGGAGATTTCTTCACAGCTTGTTCAGGAATCGTGCTCTCGTCTCAGTGCTGGCTACATGTTCAGGAGGGGAAAAACACACAGACACAATGGATTGTCCATTCCCAGGAAAATATGCGAAAATATGGGACGTGGGGGGAACGACGAACATCCAACAAATATGGAAACATATAGGGAATACTGTGATTTGTGTGTATTTATTTGTGTGTCCGAGGGCCCCTTCACATGTGTGGTCCAGACGGCCACGATCCTTTCCATAGAAATGTGCGCTGTGATGCGCATGGCCGTGCTCTCTCCCCGCGTACGCTTCTGACCCAAAAGTGAACAGCCTACCGCACTTCGGGCCTGGGACCATCTAGGAATGCACGTTCTCGCTAGCCGACCTACACCTCGACCCGCCTCTTCACCTGTGCTGCTATAAGGTTGCCTTGCTGTGGTAATTTTTGTGTAGGAGCTCGACGTGGACGTCGAGCTGCTCAACTGGGAGGACTGCGCCCAGCACCTCTCCACGCGCGTCGAGAAGACCTGGAGGCAGCTGTCCTCGCAGAAGTACAGGTCTCCGAGGGAGGGAAAAAGGCAACCCCGACCCCCACAGCTCGCGTCTACCAGGCAGGCCTGGGCGTCCATTGAGCCTCGAATGTCACACAAGTGCATCAACATATTTTTGTCGTCGTGGACCCCACAGAAAGTCATGGCACTCTGAATGTGTAAGCTGTGTGATGCACAAGCGTCTCTGTGGTCGTTCGTCGAAGAACAAGCCTGCATTCTCAGTATACCCCCACTGGTGGCAACGGCCGGCAACGGGCGGGAAGGGGCCTGAACATGGCAAATCCTTCGGACACCCCCACAGGCGGCAGCGGCCGGCAACGGGGCAGAACGCGGCGAATCCCTTGGACACCCCCAGATCGACGAGCGCGTTCCACCACTCGCAAAGTAGCTACTCGCAAATGGCCTGGATCCGCCGCGTGGGATCTACGATACATTACATCGAAGCAGGCATGTGTTTTTCGGGCGTTTGCGAGTAGGCACTCTGCGAGTAGGGGAACGCGCCCTGTGACCAGAAGTGGCAACGGCCAGCAATCGGCCAGAACCCCGCGAGTCTTCGGGACACCCACACAGGCGACAGCGGCCTGTAACGGGCGGCACCTGGCCAGAACGTGGCGAACCCACGGGGCACCCCCACGGGCGGCAACGGCCTGCAACGGGCCAGAACGCGGCGAATCCCATGGACAGCCCGACATGTGGCCACGGGCGACAACGAGCAGCAGCTGGCCGGAACGTAGCGAATCGTTGGGCAACCGCCTCAGGCGGCAAGTGCCAGTGACGGGCGGCAATTGGCCGGAACGTGGCGAATCTCATCCAATTTCTAAGCGAATGAAGAATTTCAAAGTGCAAGCATCATTGGCAAGCATCATTCGGGCACATTTTCTCGGAGCTTCAATCAATGATGCTGATGGAGTCTTTTTGCTCTGGAGCAGTCTTGCCCTGGCCGACTCCTTGTGTGTGCTTGCTAAAGGTATTCATTTCCACTGGTCAGTTTTCCTTGCTCTGCGGCAGTGTTTCCCTTTAGATGCGAATTCCATTTTTCCGTGCGCTTCAGCCCCCGAGCACCCACGGAGCACGATGCAGGCCCTGTCCCTGTCTCTATGCTACAGCCCTGAGAGCCAACGCCGCGAAACAAATGCAACATCGTAGACGCACTCCACCGGAGTCCTGGACCCAATCTTTCTGCGGCTTTTGTCGAGCCGGGGCAATCCGAATTGGTCCCGGGGCCCGAGCAAAACCGGCCGTTGTGAAAAACATGCGACGCCAGGTTTCAGGGAGGGCTTCGCCTGGTGGGCTTCTCATTCTGAGGGTTGCTTTTCCGCCCCCCAACAGGAGTCGGAAACGCGCAGAGGGGGGTGGGGGGTGGGGGGAGGGCTTCTTAGAAGCAACCCTGCTTCTTAGAAGGCGCGGGCCTTGTCTGCAGATATAGGGCCAGCGCCTTCTAAGAAGTGGCCTCCTGAGAAGCCTTCCCCCTCCCCCCACCCCCCTCTGCTCGCCGCCTTTGGATCCCCGAAGACCCGAAGTGACCGATCTTTGACAGAAGAGCGTGGAACGCGAAAATTACGGAGCACCCGAGGACTATCCCCTTTCTTGGGCCCCCCGACGGCCTCCTGGAGAGCGTCTTGCGGTTATGCTCGGGGTTGTCGGAGGCCTCTTGGCACCCATCGGGCCCTCCTCAGTGGCTCCTGGGCGCGCGGCCGACGGGCGATGCGCGCCCCGAGGAATCTCACAGCACAGGCTTCGTGGCGGGCGCCTCTTGACCCTGCCGCTCGGGAGACGACACGCCACAAGGTGGTCGTACCCTGTGCTCGGGTCGGACGCACGCCTCCGAGGAGGGCACGCATCACTAGCATGTACTTGTTCGTCCCACCCTGCCCTCCCCCTCTGCGCGCCGCCAACAGTCCGAGGCGGGAATTCATACATGACCACCGCCTGGAGGGTCTGTTTTCGGAGCCTCGGCAGGCGGTGGATACGGACCTATTCGGGCCCCCAGGGGCCGAACTATATATCCCTATCCACCGCCCGCTGGGGCACCAGGACGTCGGTTCCCGGGCGGTGGATGTGGAGAAATCCCTGCCTCGCACCTCCCCCCTCTGCGCGCCGCCAACAGGAGCATCATGGACCTCGTGAGCAAGAAGGCGGACCACTCGGTGCTGCGGCTGCTCCAGATCTCCCAGCAGCACATCTTGGAGGAGGGCCAGACAGGGAGCGGCCGCCGCTCCCGGGGTCTAGTCCTGGAGGCCTCTCGCCGCCACGGCCGGATCCGCCTCCCTCCTCCTCCTCCGCCTCCTCCTCCGCCTCCTCCTCCTCCTCCTCCTCCTCCTCCTCCTCCGCCTCCGCCTCCGCCTCCTCCTCCTCCTCCTCCTCCTCCTCCTCCTCCCTCCTCCGGCGGAGCAATTTCGGCGGCGCGGCTCGGCGGTGGACACACCTCCCTTTAGGAAACCTCCCTTTAGTGAAAACGGCCCAGGACCGGAGCCGACGGACCTGGGCCCGCAGAAGTGACGGCCGCGACGCCCTCTCGCGAGCCGAAAACGGCCAGTTCGTTAATCGACGTGTCAGGGTAGGAGGTCTATCAACCTCCGAGAGGCCGGGGGGGTGGGTGTGTGGGAGTTTCGGGTTCGAGCCTCGATGTGTTCGGGCGTTTTCGTCGGTGCTCCGCGGATGTGCAGCCGCGGGTGCTTTCCGGCGGCTCCGCCTCGCCGAGAGGCGTCCGGGGGTGCCTGGATCGTCGCGAGCGGTCGCTGGAGACCCGAGCTACGCCCCGAAAACCTGGCTCGGCGGCGAGCCAGGGGCGGAAGCGAGGAGGAGGAGGCCTTCTCAGACGGCTCGGACGTCCTCCAGCCTTCAGCGGAGTGTTCCGAACCTTCCACGAAGACACGGGAAACTTCTCAGAAGGCTCGAGGGTTTTGATCGGAAAGTGGAACAGATACAGTACCAGTGGCGGGTTGTTCTTCAATCCCAGGACTTTGTGAGGGTCGGGGACGACGCGCGTGGGTGGTGTGGTGTATACTTTTTCCCCGATGTCCCAGGGAAACAACGAGAAATGTATACACCAGGGTCCCGTCTACACCAGGATCCGCTCTCCAGTGCAAGTTTCAGTGCAGGGCGGGAAAAAAACGTCGGTGTATAGAGTTTTATTCTCTGTTTGAATAGCCCTGCCGCCTTCTGAGAGGGCTTTCTCCTTATCACTTTCCCCCCCTATCGCTCGCTCGCCGCCGATCCTCCGACGGAGCATTTGTTTCGCGACGTTGGCCCCCAGGGATTTCGACCTCTTCCTGGGGACCAGCTCTTCGTCCCGAGTTTGTATTTTTTCTCGGTTTTGGGGCTGGGCGACGGCCTCCAGAGGCCGAAAGTTAGAAGCTGGCCGTCGCGATGTTTCTGCGTCGCCTGGGGTTGAAGGTCGAAAAGCTGGTGAGGATGGACCCCCAGAGGGGTCCAGGTGCCGATCTTGAGCGGACTTTGTGCCGGGTGGGAGAAACGCCGATAGTCTCAATCGAAGACCGAGAAAACGGCGTGAACATAGATAACATAGATTATAGGAGCTTCGCGTGGATTCTTTGATCGGCGCTAGGCCCCCCTGGCTGCGCCTCCGGCGCCTCCCCTGGCGCGCTCCTCTCGCTCGGGAGGGGGTCCAGCGCAGATGCGCGGACCTCCGAAAGTTCATGTTTATGCCATTTTGCTTTCGTTCACGCAAGCTGGCCCCCCTCCGAACCCATCGAGAGCCAGCTGGACCGCGTGCGCCACGAGCGGGAGCTCTGGAAGGAGGTGGTGGACAAACGCGCGCAGCAGCCCATGCAGCTCGCCCTCTCCCTGAAGGACAGTGGAGACGAAGGGCTCCAACGCAGTCACACGGGGTGGTTTGGGGGTCGCTCCTCATCCCCTCGCCTTCCTCCCTCCTCCCACTACTCCTTCCTCCTCCCCGCCTCCTCCTCCGCCTCCTCCTCCTCCTCCTCCTCCGCCTCCTCCTCCTCCTCCGCCTCCTCCTCCTCCTTCCCCTCCTCCGCCTCCTCCTCCTCCATCCTCCTTCTCCTCCTCCTCCTCCTCCTCCTCCTCCTCCACCTCCTCCTCCTCCTCCTCCTCCTCCTCCTCCTCCTCCTCCTCCTCCTCCTCCTCCTCCTCCTCCCCCTCCTCCTCCTCCCCCCCCTCTTTTCTCCTCCCCCTTCCTCCCCACTCCTCCCGCCTCCCTCCCCCTCTCGAGCGGCAGTCCCGCCGTCTTACCCCTGCTTCGCCTGGCCTGCCGAGGTGCTTCTGTGGGCGTTTGGCTAAAGGGGACTCCCCTCTGTGCCCGTGTTAGACTCGTAGTTTGCTCGTGTTTTTCTCCCGTGCTTGTGTAAAACTCACCACCCACCAAACCACCCCAACCCAACCCGAAGGCCTCATTTTGCCCTCCATTTCCAGTGGGGGGGGGGTCCGGGAACATCGAAAAAACACATATGGAGCCCACACACCCCCCAACCCGAAATTCGGGTCTTCGGGTTGGGTTGGGGTGGTCTGGTAGGTAGTCAAAAACACATCCATCTCGTTTCTCCAGTCACCTTTTACAATCAACCCGCGTAGTACGGATGGGAACGTCGGGCACCCGCACCTCGACGTGAGCTGCCTGTCGGGGAGAGCGGTCATGTGGCTCGCGGGCCGCGAGACTCGGATGTCTGGCAGCGGCCGATTCGAGAGCAACGCGGGCGCCGCTCTCGACCGCGCGCAGCGACGACACTTCGACGAGCTCCACAGCACACAGCTAGCACTTGAGCTAATGCGGCAGCAGGACGAGCAGCGACGACGGGCCGCGCAGAGTTGGACAGAAACTCCTGTTAATCCTCCTCCTGGCCGCAGCGCCTGTCGCCTCCCCCAGTTGCTGTCCTCAACGGCGACGACTGGGAGTGTCCGATCTGCCTCGAGGCCTTCACGCGTGGCGAGAGGGTGGTACGCCTTCAGTGCCGATGCATCCTGCGCCGCGCGTGCCACCTACAGCTGATGCAGAACGCTGACCCCATCTTAGCATACTGTCCAGCGTGCCGCGGGCCAGCCGGCATCATCGCCGATTTCTGCTTCATTGGTGCAGACCGTGTGCCGGCGGGTCCGGCATCGGTGGCATCGGCCCGCGCGGCGTCAGGCAGGGACGTGCCGGAGGAGACCCCGCCACAACAGAAAATTGCGCAGTCTCCCCGGCCAGTCCGTGCCCTTGGGGACACCTCGGTCAGACCTCGTGCTGTCGCCGGGCAGTGCGTCCAGTTTTGCGTCCGCGCGGCGCCTTGCGACGCCAAACTGGATTTGCGCGCGCCGCCATGCAGGCCGACGCTCCCGTGGTGGCCGACCTCGTCGGGTACAGGGTCGGGCTCATCGAACGAGTCGCCGTTGTACCTGGCGAGCACCGATCTACCATCTGTATGGACGCCCGAAATGGGTACGGAAAGAATGATGCATCTGGCGATGGGAACGCGCTCTCGGACAGCGACCCGGCAGCGCCCTCGAAGCCGGCGGCGCGGATGGCATCGAAGCCGTGATCTTGTAGTGCTCGTCATTTGTCCCGTCCCCGTTGTAGGACCCAGGCGGGGCGCCCTGGTCCTGCTGCCCACTTCTGCCAGGGCAAGTCGACGCGGCCAGCCTGGCAGGCCGGCCCGGCGATCTCCGCGCAGGGCAGCTCCGTGGAGCCTTCGGCGCCGTAGGCACCGAGGGACCTTTCGGGCGTCGCGCTGCCTACCTTTTTCGGGGTGGAGCCCTGGCCGAGGAACGTCATGCCAGCGCGCCCAAAGCCTCAAGATCCACGAGATGACGGAGGAAGGTCGGGAACGACCACGATCTCAGCACCGTCGACGCAGCGTCCCAGGACGAGCTGGGCGACGCGGCGGCCCAGCTCGACCACGCACGTCCACGTGCTGTCGTTGGACACGATCACCTTGCGGCAGTCGGGGTCAACCACGCCGCCTGCGACACGAATGCCTCTGAGAGCGGGCCCTGAGCGTGGGGACGTGCGGAAGCACGCGCCCGGCGGCGCTATGGCCGCTTCGCCAGCCGGCACCAGTTCACGACCACGGGTCGCGAGACTGACGTCCGCGCAGGCGTAGAGGTCGTAGCTCGCGGCCCCAGGCGCGCCCCGCGAAGGTTCCCGCGCGATGGAGCCGAGGAGCTAAACCTTCTGCCGATTGTACTCGCGACCGTCGGCGTCGCGGTGATCATGGCTGTCGCTGCCCACCGCTAGCAGCGTGATCTGCACGGACGGCAGGCCCCCAGAGCGCGGCTGCAGCGTGCCGGAATCGTCGATTGAAATGCACAGGTGGCCATTCGGCGCCAAGTTTTAGGTCGAAAGAGATAGCGTCGGGGCCCCATGTGATCTCGCAGCCTCCTGGCCTGGGAAAGGCACGAGACGTTTGCGATGCACGACTGTCCCCGCCACCCCGTCAGTGGACTGCGCGGACTGCAGAACTAAAAGGGCAGGGAGGTCAGCAACGGCGCCCTCCACGGCCGGGGCACGCATGCCGCGCTGGCTGTTCACGCCGTCGCGGGAAGTCGCCGCCACAGGGTAGTGAACCTCCCAGTTCACCGCTGGCGACCCGTTCCCAACTCCTGTTAATCAGGGGGCCCTGGGACACAAATAAATACGCAGAAAAAACAAGATTCCCCATATCTCCCAAATTTTCTGGGTTTTTGTCTTCCCCCCGCTTCCCATATTTTCCCATAGTTTCTGGGGAATCGACGATGAATTGTGTCCGTGTGTTTTTTCCCTCCTGAGCTAAGCACAGCGGGGTTGACAGCTTGTCTTCGGAGGGCTGCAGCTCCGCTAAGCCCAGCGGGCCACACTCATGGCAAAGCGCAGTCCCCGGAGGTTGGCCCAGGCGCCAGCATCGACTGTGCACACGGCAATACTTTGGACGCCCGAAATGGGTACGGAAAAAATGGGTACAATGCCCAACAACAAGTGTTGTCCCAAACCAACAGCGGCCGCTGTTGGGCAGGCGGCCTTCTATTTCAAATGGAGACAGGCCGCGGCGGCGATTACAGCGAGTCCTGTTCAAAATGAGCAGGAACTGCTGTTGGGCATTGTACCATGCAGTGGATCGCGTGCGACACGAGTAGGGGCGAGTCTCGCCGTATCTTCGATACCCCTCCTGATTGTCGCGCGCGGGTCAAGGCGCCGGCGCCGGGTTCGTGGCCATCAGCCTGCGCTGCCCTCAATGGAGACGCCCAGCGGTGCAGCGGATGACTGACACTCGCGTGCGTCGCTCCAGCGGGCGTCAGGCCTGTCGCAGGCCACTGTCCCCAGAGGCCAAATGCAGCTACGTTACCTTCGCGGTGCTCGGCGGGGCGCCCTTCCACGGCCGGGTGCGTGAATCTGGCTTTGACCTGCCGCGAGGCGCCGCGTCTTGCGCCTCGCTGCAGTCGTGCTTCAACGCGCACAGGCGTGTCGCGGAGGGTGCACCTCCGACGAGGCGCGACGGCAGTGTGCTCCCGGGACTCGAGCGCATCTTCCTGTCGCGTTGCGATGCTCGAGCGCGACAAGCACCGCGCTGAGGACCGAGCGACGGCACCGACCAGCAGAACGACATCACCAGGTATAGGGGCGCAGGGCGCCCGGAAAAACGCGGAGATTCGAGTGCATCTTCTAGTTTCATGGCGCATCGCAAGCGCGCCGCCAAGCGGCGCGCCCGGGGCCACGGGCGCGAACAACCATGTGTGGCGCCTGGTAATTTTATTTCCAGCGCCTGCCCAACGGCAGAGCGCATGCGCCAGAAGGCGAAGATAGAGGAAGGCCACGTGCCCGGGGAGCGCAGGCTGGTCGTCGAGGACCACTGCGACGACCGCGGCTCCGATCGCACCAGCCTGGCTACGGCGGCGCCGACGAGTGCGACGCGGGCGACCTTCGCGACAACGTCTGCGAAGGTCTGCCGCCGTGGTGGTGCCGAGGCTCGTCGGCTCCCGAGTCCGAAACTGACCGCCAAATGGCTGGTTCTCAGACGCCGCGACCCGCGGAGTTTTCCTGCCCTGCCGAGCCTGGGGCTACAACCGCATTCGAGCCGCGGGATACAACCCAATTCGATGCCACCCACCAGCTCCTCACCTACCTCGCTTCACTCAACTACGGCGTCGACGTCGTGGAGGTTTGCGGTAGGGGGGCGCGGGCCAGCAGACTGTCTGTCCGCAGCCGCCCCAGAGCTGGCGAGAGTTTCGGCATGGTCACCGTCTGTGACTACAACGACGAGAGACAGCAGCGAGCTGTGGGGGGATACATGCGACATAATCGGCCTCTAGTGGCCACTAGGGCTCCAACCTGCAGGCCCTTAGGTCGTTTAGGAGACGTTCAACTGCCAGCCAAATTGCAACGCCTGGCTGCCCGCCTACGTGGACGCGGCCCCGCGCGGCCGATTCTGCGGCTACATTGCGCAGCTGCAGCTCGAGATGGGCGGCTACTTTGTCGGCGAGACGCCCGGCCCGTCGTGGTTGTATGACGAGCCGCCATGGCCGGGGTGCTGGGGCGGTTGGCGTGGACTCGACCGTCTTGGACCGGTGCGTGCTTGGGCTTCGAGATCGTCGCGGAGGCATCTTCGAGAAAACCGCCAGGTTGGTCGCCGACGCCCTGTGCATCATCGGACAGTTCAGCAACCTCAAGTGCCCCGGCAAGTGCGACCGCGCCCGCGTCGAGGGCCGCAGAAGCTTCGACGCCCAGATCTGGCCATGCAAGATGACCGAGCAACTCGTGCCAGGCATTGTGGACCTACGTCGCCGTTGGAGCGTCCGAGGCGTTCGCATCTCGCGACTCATGTTCGCGCGCGCCGCGTCCAAGCGGCAGACGTCCCAGCTGTGGTCCCAGGGG